TTCTATCTCTTATTTTATACAAATTTAATTTTTATGTATATATTATAGCATTCAATTTAAAAAGTTTCGCATTTTCCTTCGTGTTTGAATAAACGCAATGATGTTCCTCTCATCCCTTAGATTCTTTAGCTTTAGGTTTCGAACGTCCACATTTAATCAACTTAATTAGCGGGAATATTCGCTTTCGGATCCTCTCCCGGCACTTTTCCTTTAAAAAGCAGAGATCACTTTTCACTTCGGTCAGCATTCACGAAACTTTTTAGTGGTTAATTACGAGCTCTTTCGTCGGAATAAGAGCAACGAGGCAAGAGAACCGGAGTGAGGTTTTTAGTTTTTAGTTTTGTTTTTGATAGCAGTCGATGGATCCTCGATAAACAGCATAAACAGTAGCCTCCCGCTGAGCGGAAGCTTTTGATGCAGTCGTTTTTCACTTACACTTACGGCATCATCCAATATTAAGACCATTTCGACATCGAAAAATTGCACTCGCGATTCTTTTCGAAGCTAAATCTCCGTGAAAATTATTCGCTTCTGATTTGGGGAAAAGATTCTGAAGAGCTTGCAAGATGACGATAACTCCGAACTCCGTGAATTAGATTTTACACCCAGAGGCAATTGAGATCACGAATTATTAACGCATATTTTTTCAAATATATGTGCTTTAATTTTGATATAATATATAGATCTCTATATGCAAAATTTTTCTTTAAATTCAATTTTTTCAAAATTCAGAAATAATACTCAAACTAAATATACAATGAAATATGCAAAAATATTCGAAGTAAATAGCTATAAAATATGCGATAAAAAGCTTCATATAATTTGCTTTTTGTCCTATCATTTCGCAACTCGCGTGTCATATTAACTTCTCGGTACAAGATAAAAAGAAATTGGTTGTACAGTATTCCATTGAACGCATAACGTTTAAATAGCTTTTGAACTGTGTAAAACGCGTTTGTCTATTTGTAATGGTACGTGTTAATGCGTTTACGTGTCATTTGATATTTGCAGAGAACGTCAAATGTGATGAGCCATCGATTTTACCGTATATCGGATGTGTTACTGAAATACTTTGACTCTTTGAAGCGTTTGCAAAATGATCGCGCTTTATAAATATTGATTTATTGCGATTTCTATTTTATTTTACATTTCTATTTTATTCATACGCGTGTATCGCGCTCGCAGATTATACTTTATAAAACGATGTAAAAGTTGATTGTGTACAATTCGCAGATGTGGAGATTTAATAGCGCATTGGATATTTAATGGACATCATATTGCGTATTGTGCTACGATCATTATTTTTACAATGAAGTTCTGAATTGTTTAACATTTTTATGATCTTGATATTATACTGGATGGCCTATTATCATTTGAATAGAGAGAGAGAGAGAGAGAGAGAGAGAGAGAGAGAGAGAGAGAGAGAGAAAGAGAGTGCTAAGAGATTGCAATGAGAAAATCTTTTTTTCTTTCTCTAATAAAATTGTGTGTTATTTATTTCTTTTTTTAATATCAGTTATTGTAAATTATGTTCAAATTATGCTTTTTTGTATCTCTTAAGAGTATACCTTAAATTACTAATAATTATAATAACATATATTATAATTATATTACCACGTTATAATATATTGCTGTATATCGTTTTTGATAGATAAAATGAAAATTGGCTATCGCATCTCAGGATTAATATCGACTCTCCGATACGCATCCGTGTTCGGTTACCTCGAATGTGACGCGCTTGGATCCGTAATACATTCGTGTTGCCATTTGAGGTGTACCAGAGGCATGGCTTGAAATTGACCGTGGGGTTTATGCGCGTAATGAAATTCTGATGGGACTCTACGGGCGCGCACGACGCGGCCAATCGACATTTTGCGGTCTGCACGACCGCTTGGCCGGAAATTCGCTCTTCGTCATCTTCGAGGGAACGTGTCCAAGTGCTGTGTGCCCAGTACGCGTTCGACAGCGGTTTTTATTGAACTCCTTCTTGTCACTTACTTAGAGTTGTGTAGATCGGTTATAGAAAAAAAATTGTTAACATGCGGATATGAACTCAGCGCTCGGCGAAAATGACAGTTTGAAATTTCTCGAATTGTAGACAATGTGATATTTTTTGTACCTTCATTTTTTTGCATGGAAAAAGAATTATATAATATTCGAACACACATATGTTGCGAGTATGACGATGAAATGTTAGAAATTATATCGCATGGCACGTACATTTAATTATTCATGAACTTATCCTCCACGCGAAATTGATTATCATGGTAATCCTACATAATCCCGCTCGAGAGAGCGACCGGTGTAATTAAGCACATCAAACTACCTGCCATAAATCATAAGTTAAGTATCGCGGCGATGTTTTTTTTTTTTTAGCTAATACTTTGCATTCGCGTAACCATATAATTTCTGAATTATAGCGACGTCGTCTTATCGTTCTCTATAAAGGCACAGGCTGATGTTTAATCAATATCGATTAGGTGATTCATCAAACGAGGGAAAGTCAAGATTTTGATGGATGTGCATGTCGCGGTATTTTTGCCAAGAAAGTTTCCCTCCAAGTTGTAAAGAACTTGCCCGATCTCTCGGGTTTGTTGATGTAAATGTGTTTTCTTTGCGCCGGTAAACTTAAATGATCTGATCGCGACCAATCGCTTAGATAATCAAATTTTTTCAATATTTTAGATATAAAGTAAACATTAGTGATCTCTTCTTTTTTTGTCAAGTCGTGATTTATATTATTATTACTATATTGCACAAATTATATTTATTATGTTATTTATTACATTGGAGCTCTATATATTATATAATTATAATTAGAAAACATATAATATTAATATTATTATTAATAATAATACTAAATTTAATGATAATTTCATATACTATCTATAATGCATAACATTTTATGATTAATTATTTTATTTTTATTTAAGGCAATATAGTATGCAAATTACGTTGAAATATTCACAAATATTAGAAGGATTAAATTTTACTTTTTGTAAGATACACAAGAAAGTATAATTTGTGACATAAAATGTGTTTCATATACATATAAGAAACTAAATTACGTTAACTTATCTTCACCGTCGTTTACTTGATAAAGTAAACAATGTTTCAGACATAATATGACAAAAGTTTTGATCTTGATTGATGCAAACTGTATTTAATTTCGCGATAACGAGCGACGATAAGATCGTGCATTTTGATATGAAAATCCCAAAGCTTACAGATATCTAGATAGATAGAACATGAATTTATTCATAGACAGTACCGAGTTATATGCTGAAAATAATATAATCGCACAGATCGGACTTTGTTGACAACCTTTGTTAGTCGACACTGCGCCATGTACGGAATGCTATAAAGGTGGATCGTCACAGAAAATGCCCGCAGTCAATATTCGCATCGCGTCGTGAAATATCAATCAGCACGTATTGATTGTTCGAAGCGTATGACAATCGATAGACGACGAGCCGCTTCCTCGCCAATTGTTCGCTTCGCGAAGGGCACGAAATTAGTTTCGTCGAGCGCGAAACCGCCCTCTTTTTTTTTTTTTTTTAATCTCTCCGCCGAATCTGTTTCAAAAATATTTTATCGTTTGGTCGCCCGCGCTTTCAAAACTCGATTTAGCACAGTAAAAACCCTCTCTCGTCCTTTGTATTTTAATCGAGTGACATCCACATTGCCGGCGCGACGAATTTTGCGTTCGCCCACGCGCGAAATTCGTCGTCTCTTCAACACTATCATTCTTTCGCCTACCGAATCCCGGGGGCTATTTCCGGTGCTAGTGCGATTTCCGCCAGATTTTCGCGACCTTGAACGATCCTCTATACAATCGCGGATGGACAATCGTGAATGGAAATAATATTGAAATTATATCCAATCCGCCGTCGTAGGATGACGATGTCAAGTTTCTTCTCCAAGAGTACCTTTCGCGACATCCGATCGCGGGACACGAAAGAGTTATACATATATTTTATTCGGATGTGTATTTTCTCCTGTTATATTCGCGCTCTACGGTGTCGAGCGACGTTGCAAATTTAATGACGTTTCTCTTCGCTCAGCTTTTGGCTTTGGAGCTTTCACGTGCGTCATGTCGCTTACATAATTTAATACGCTCCGTTTTATTCAATTATGTTTTGCAGATAAGCGTAGCTTAATTTGATTCGCATTTGTGTGTAAAATCACATTTAGACATATACATATATATATGTATTACTTATTAACCGTAATATATTTATCCAACAATTTGCTTATTGAATATTTATATACAATGAAACGTGAAAGGAATTAATTTGCCATATACATATATATGAATAAACATTTTTTTTATCTCAACAATAGAGATTCATACTTGTAAATATTTTTTTATTTCTTCAAAAAATATACATTTTCTAAAAAAATGGAAAATATTTACATGTATGAATCTCTATTATCAAGATAAAAAAATGTTAACATAGAATTTTATAACAGTCCGTAATCAAGCTGACAGTGCATTAATCCTTAGTAAGTTATTATCGTACGGGGCAGTAACCTCGCACGAGGTATCGATTTTTTCGACGATAGCATATGTGAGTATAATCCATCGCAAATATATGTAAATTATAGCAAACAACGAATTATTCGATATAAGTATAGAATAAAAATCCATTTTTCTGTCATCCTGTCATAAATTCTGATACATATATGATACGTGTCGAATCGATTTGATTCAAGATCTCTTTTTTTTAGATAACCTTTTTCTCTTACATTAAAAAAATTTTTTTTTTCTTAAGTATTTAACACCAAGTCTATTTCTTGAAGAGAAATAAAACCGATATTGTTTTAACATATATCTGTGTACAATGTTTATTACGCGAATACTTAAGAATTAACGGATACGTTTATATTCTGTGGCGGCAATAGAATTGGTAATAGAGTTTAAATGCGCGCCGAGCTTGCGGCATATCAATCAGTCTGTTACATGCATCGATTACCGCTTGTACTTCATTTTCTTGTAGAGTGTGAGATGCTGCGTTATCAGCGGCCGCTAGGCAGTACACGTCGATGATGGAACAATCGACAGGCAAAATCTCATTAGAGGATCGTGTCGCGCACGCTAATTAATTACGTCGCCAGCGCTGGTGGCCCTCCAATCTCGTTTCTTGACAATTCCGCTAATTAAGTTCGTGCTCCACATTTGGAAGTTGCCATCCGGGGAACTTGAATCCGTCGGCACTCCGGTGAGCTAAATTATATGCACGTATGCATAGACTCCCGAAATGGAATATGCGTGTGTATGTGTTCAAATAGAAATAGAATATGGCAACCAATTTTCGAAATTAACTCTAACAATACAAAAAAGCAGAAAGAAGCATATACTCTTGTATTCTTTACATGTCTAATATCAACCCTTTGCGGTTGTAAGCCGCGATGATATATATCGAGATATTCAAAGGATGTTACCGCAAAAGAGAGAGAAAGATTAATATTTCATTAAAAATTATGTTAAAAATAAAAATATAAAAAATAAAGTTTGACTTGTTAGTCATGTATTTAAAATTTCAAAAATACTAAGATATATGATCTTTGTGTATGTGAACTTATCTTCTTTTCAATGAAGAGAAATATATTTAAAATGCAGATTATTGTGGAAATAATTATTTAAATAGTTTTAAGAGAAAGAAAGAAATTCTATTTACACATAATTACAAATTAGTTTAAAATTTAAAACTTTCGTGAAAATAGTAGATACAAAAATATATCGATCATATTTATTTAAAACACTATAATTGACTATGATTAATGATTGAATATTAATAATTCAAAAACAAATTATTACAGAAATTCTGATTTAAAATAATATCTAAAGTTTTCGAAATTTTTGCATTGACTATTTTAAACATGCTCTTTTTCTTGGATTGTTGTTAAAATATTATTTCACATATCATGTAGTAGAAGGAAAGTATTCAGAAAAATACAAAACTATTATACGTATCCATTTTAAAAGCAACCATTTATTTTTACTGCTGATTTACGAAAACAAACATGATTTAATAAAGATATGAAGCAAAATGAGTCGAAAGAGACGTAAATAAGAGAGAAATGGATATAAATTCATAAAAACATGTAGCATTACAATATTTTAATATTATTTTGCGCGTAATAATAAATGAAAATATAATTTCAATTTGATTATTTGAAATCTTTAACGAGAGATGCACATGTTTGAGATCTGTTGCGTAAAATCAATTGAATATTTCAAAAAGAGTTTCAATAAAAAACATACATAAATAATTATCTTACAATCATTTATATTTAAGAGGAGAAATAAAACATATATAAAAATTCTTATTTTTTATTTCAAATACAAAAACTACTTTACTTATCTCTACTTTCGATATATTGGCAGTTATAGAAAATATCTTGTTATTATTAGAATTATTATTTATGTATAATGTTCATGCAATTTTAAAAAAATCATAAATCTCTAACGATATCGCATTCAACTTGTCAATGATAAAAAAAAAAAAAAAACAAAAGCACTATAGCTAGTCAATGTATACCCAGCCGTTATTTTAAAATTCTACAACATATTTTTTAGGATGCGCACACTTTTACGATGATGCGAATCGACGATCGTGTTCGTTATTTAATTACACCTCTCGTGTGTCGTTAGGCGCTTTTATCGGCGATGACAAACGACCGATCAGCAATATCCATTCATGAGAGCGGCCTCGCGAAAGCAACGTTATCAGTCGTAATTTCTGTCTCTTGTGCAATGCATTCGTAGTAGACGATTACGTAAGTCACAGCATGCCTGAATGAACACAGTTTCAGTGCTCCGGAAAATGATTCTTACGTTAAATCGCAGGATCGAACATTCCGTAGAGGGGTCTTTCAATATAGAAAGAAAGGAAATGGAGTAGAATAGGATTAGATTTATATTTCATGCTCTGCAATATTGTGAAAACTCTTGCGGAAGGTTGCACATACGCTGTACACATTATAGATTATATTTGCGATGAGAAAAATATTTAAAAGATAATATAAATTAGTCCGATACTCTTTGAAACCCAATCAAGACTAATATAATCGGATAGAATAAAGCTGAATAATTGATGAATAAAAGAAACTAAAGAGAATTTTATTGCCGAAAAGAGAAATTGAAACTTGGAAGTAAAACGGGGCAAATATTCTTATTTTCCAACTCTACTATAATTATATTATTTTTTTAATTATATTAATTAAGTTATTAGAATTATGATCCTTCATTGGAATATATTTATAAAACACATACACACACAATTACAGATTAGTTTAAATTTATTGTTAGATTGACTTGCTTAGCAGGTTATTGTGCATGGTAAAAGAAAAGGAGAAAGATTAGTAATCAATAATATCGTAAAACTCGAGTTAACAAACCATTTAACATAAATTAACAGGAATTGAATTATAATTATATATAACTTATATACGGTTACTAATAATAATTTCTGATGCGACGATACTCTATCCATAAATCATCTTTATACACGCTCGAATATTTCTTTCGCTCTCTCTGGAACTAAGATATAAATTGCAAATTTAGAATCGATATAAAATCAATATAAGAATCGACACAAAGAGTCGATTATCTTTTTTTCAAAATCTATCATTTAAGAAGTATCGACACACATTTTATATTTTTTAACAAAATAAAACCGCTAACGATAAAAGAGAAAATTTACTGAATTGCGAATTTGCAAGAATCGCGCCTTGCAAAAGTTAAATAAGTAAAATAAAAATCTAAAATTTCTTTCGAATATATTTCTTTGATAACGCTCTGTTAACGGTATAAATTTATTTCTTAGTGAGAGTGAGAGAGAGAGTAAAATTATTTCGTGATATCAACAAACATTATTTATGCGCGAAGTATTTACTTTCGCTAGTAGCGCGTTATTGTTATGTACACATCATTGTTGTGCGTGTGTCTTGGCTCGTGGCCTTGTACGTCATAGCATCATTCGTGCCGCGAGCCTCGAGTGAGTCGGCAGCAGCGCGAGACGCTCCTTCCTATCGTCTCTCGAAACGCGATTATCTCGTATATTAGAGACTTTGCAATTATCTAACCGCGCGATTAATTAGTTTGTGATTATGCCGATGCCATTTTTGAAGTCATTCACAAAATGTCGGGTATAAAACAGGTTAACTCAAGTATTATTGCGACGTGCGCATATTCGTTAACAATGAAGATAGCGTTGTATAAATTCGATCGCGCGAATTTTCCGACGTTAAGTTGATCGTAGTTTTCGCGTTCTTTATAAAATAAACTAAATAAAGTGTGTGTCGTACGCGATTTACGTCGCGAGTAAGGTTAAGTGCCGTGCGATCGTCATTAGTAATTAGTGCGCGTATCGTTAACCGAGTATCGTTGCATGAGAAGTGTTTTCGCGAGTGCCATGAAGAGGAGCAACCAAAAAGATAAACGAAAGAGAGGAGGAGGATGTCCGGGAAGACATCGGATATCGGCGAAACTCCGAGGTCAGCAATTTAGAATTTTCTTCATTCATTATTTATTTGTTAAATTAATTGCTCGTCTATCTTCGTATTAGTAACCTAACCTAACCTAATCTATTTTATATCATTGTATAAAACGTTGCATATATTTTTAATCTCGTATTTTGAAATATTTAAAATATTTTATACAAATTTATGTATAAAATAAATGTTTTCGGATATTTTATAATTTTTTAAAAGTTTGTTAAAGGGGATGTATTGAAACTTTGTGTTATAATGCTATAATAATTTTCTGAAATATTAATTACTTTGGACATTGATTTATACATTTTGGATATATTTCATTGTAACCGGAAAGAAATACTATGTTTTCTCTCTTTCTCTTTATTATCATCCTTCATTGATAGCGTACGATCCGTGGGATGCTGTCGAGCATTGACGTATCCGATAGCGGAGCGCGGGGAGAAAGATTCAGTAACGCGAGACAGGATCGAATTCATTCTGTAAACAAGGAACAAATGACACATTGGAATAGGTGTAATGATAGGTGTTCTGATAAGCAATATGCGATAATGAGTCATGTTGATCGGTCACGTTAAGTCTTTCGGTTCTTTCGTTCACGTTTCTATCTGCCATCGCGTGTATTTAGTTTCTGAATTATCTCGCCGTTTAATATAAAGCGTATAAATTATTACTTCAAATTAGTTTTTTTTCTTCCTCTCTCTCAATTTCTCTCTTCCTTTAATTACTCAGTTATCCCTCCCCTCTCTCTTCTGAATATTTTACACTCAGAGTCGTATACAAGATCCACTTATCAAGCGTTGTATCAAATGTATCCGCGAATAACTCGTCTCACAACTCGATTTCGTTGCTCATACGATTCCCCTCGTGTGCATCTAATAAATCTCTTCCCCGCCCCCCACTCTCTTTCATCGCGGAAGGAGCGAACCGTGGCGGCGCGGAGAAAGAAGCGGGAGCGCGAGAGAGTCGGTCGAATGATAAGGAAGTAACAAATTGTCTAGCTAGACGAGCCCCCGACGTGCTTGGCACGAAACTCGCGCGCGGCGAGGTCGAAAGGAGAGACGGTCGATCGTGACCTGCCAAGCGTAATGCGAAGCAGGCAGGACCCCCTCCCCCTCGATGACCGGCGAATTTATCGACGGACTCTCCCGGGAACGGCACCCCCGCTCCGCGCACACATGTGGAATTTACCTGAATATTTGAGAATCCGTCTGATAAGTGAGAATTTATCGTCCACTTTTCGTCATCTGTGCGCTATATTAAAGAATTACAGCTATCTAAGCGCTAATTTAATCATAATTAGGAAGATAAAAATTTAAAGATAACATTATATCTTTTTTCTTCTTGATAAAACGGCGAAAATCTTATCGTTTTAGTCAGATTGGAAGATCCAATTTTTGGTTTTTATTTTTATATAGCAAGATGTTATAAATTGAAGAAATATTTTCAAATTTTAAAAATGTGAAATACTTTTAAACAAAAGTCTATTTGACATATTTGTCATATTTGTTATTTGTCATATTTCGAGAATATTTACAAAAGACGTATCAAATTTCTCGCTTTGGCTTTTTTAATCAATTTATTCGGCTTTTTATTGTATATATTATTTATTCCCCTCTTTTTATTTACATTGTATATATTAACGAATCTTAGCTTCTCGAGAGACATGCAATAATTGACGTGGCCATATAAAACGTCTTTCCCGTCAAGTCTGAAAACGAATGATGTAAACAAAATACGCGCATTACATCGTGTATGCTCCGGGCAATACGAGAACGATATAGTGTTCCGTTTTCTCGCGATTTTTTTTATAGTTTACGACGAACGCGCGCATACTTATCCCGGGCATTAGCAGTTGGCAAAATGCTGCGGCTATAAATTTCAGGCCGACGGTATGTTAATTCCTGGACGTTCCACATACTCGGCAACATTGTTCGCCATTATGTAGATTACGGGACAATCCGTCGTAGAGCTGACACGATCGCCCGCGCGTTATTACGCGATGGAATTGTAGAATTATATGGACAAAAATACGAGCGGATAAAGCGAGATGCACATGGACAAAATAAAAAAAGAAAGAAAAAAAATTAGAACGTTAAAGAAATTAAATTCATTGGAAACTCCATATTTTGCAAATTAGATTGCTTTCGAGAAGTTATATGGTTAACGTGTGTAGTATACATATAAAGACATGTAAGAAATTTATCTTTGGAATTCATTAATGCTTGTCAAAAGCTATTACTAGTAGCAACTATTCCATCAGTATAAGCTCGATAGCGAACTCGTAACAAGCTATTGCATATTAGAAATATTAGTTTTATAAATTTATACGAAAAAAAAATTTTATTTTATGACATTATTTTCTCTCTTTTTCTAACGTATCTTAATTTTATGATAGCATTTTATAATTCCATACTTCTAGATCGAATCGCGTTGAAGCATAAATAAATCCAGTTATATGGAATAAAATTGTATTTAATAGAAAAATTATTTTAAAAGAATAAGGAAAAGTCGGGCGGAAAAGAGAGAAAGGTAGAAAATAAAACGTAATTTATAACTTATATATTTTACTTTCCAACAAGATGTTGCAATAAGACTTTGCGCGCATAAAAAAATTAAATATGAAAATGTATTGAGCAAAGAAATATGACAGAAAAGATAAAAAAACAGGGAAAGGGGAGGGAAGATGGAAAGTGTACTCTCTGTGACGGAGGCATTTCTATAATAATTCCGTCCTGAAAGGCTTCGAAAGATGAAGTTGATGTCGGGAGAAAAGAGGAATCCAATCGAATATTCGAGAAGAAAGTTCTTCCACAGGATTGTTGATTCATTCGATGCAATGGAAATACGTTGTTTTCATGCTTTATCGGTGGCATACTATCGACAAATTTTTCAGATTCCTCAGATCTATTGCAAATATCAACATTCGGTCTAATATCGCGTTATTAAGATTACAAGGACATTATAATATTATTGCGTATGCACGTGTAAGCGTCTCATTCGTAAAAATTCTTTTCATCTATTTCTATGATTTTCCATTACGTACGATTAAATTTAAAACAATCAGATAATTATTTCTGGCAGAACAGAGTTTCCGACAAATTTTATATAAAAAATAAAAATAAATAGAAAAAAGTCATTACTCTCTACTTCGCATAAAAGAATTAGTATGAATAGATCAGAACACTTGTGTGTGTGTGTGTGTGTGTGTGTGTGTGATCGTCACGTGAAATGAATGGATTATGATTCCGCGAATACGATGAAGGTAAAAATCAGAGGTGAATAGAGTACATATATTTGAGATAGAAAGCAAAAATATTTATGTGTGTAGATTATATTCTTTTTATCCGATTATTAAATGTGAAATAATAATGCATATATATGTTAATTAAAACTTTTAAAATATTTAAATATTTTACGAAGATAAATAAATTAAAAATTAAATATGCATTTTTCCGATGAGTGTTTCGAAGATAAATGGTTCACAGGATGGGATAGAAATTGCTGTTTATATTGCGCAAGTATCAGGTCTACTGGAAAGTTCTGTCCGTTTTTGGAATAAAACAAAATACAAATTTTTATTACCGTCAATAAACTTTATTAAATAATGTAATTGCCATTATTCGGAGAAGTATTGTCAGCAACTGGATAATTTAAATACAGCAGTCCAAGAAAAGAGGCCGGCGATGTTCAATAGGAAGAACATCATACTGCATCATGATAATGCCAGGCCACATGCTGCTTTGGGGACTCGTCAAAAAATTGCAGAACTAGGCTGGGAAATTCTGTCGCATCCACCATATTCCCCGGACTTAGCACCCTCCGACTATCACTTGTTTTTGTCCTTACAAAATTTTTTGAGGGGCAAAAAATTCAAAAATGAAGAAGACATCAAACAAGCACTGGTTCAATTTTTCGCATCAAAAGATAAAACATTATTCGAAAATGGGATATACAAATTGCCCTCACGCTGGCAAGAAATCATTAATAATAATGGCAATTACATTATTTAATAAAGTTTATTGACGGTAATGAAAATTTGTATTTTGTTTTATTCCAAAAACGGACAGAACTTTCCGGTAGACCTAATATATTTCTTCATCATGCGGGAATATGTGTATATGTGTGTGCCGTTGATTTACACGGAGTATGAGCGATCGATTTTTCGTAAAAACGCAAGATATATTTAACGGGACGGAACAAAAATGGGCAAATAATTGCGGCCTCGGTGAGTCTAACGTATCAGAGCGCGGATATACTTGCGCGCGGCGCATTGCCACTTTGTGCAATTTAAATGATAATCATGGCACTCTGCGCGTCATGGGGCGAATAGTATTCGAATAATACGTTGTCACGCGAGCTGCGACGTTGATATGACGCATTTTTTTTTTTTTTTTTTTTTTTTTTTTTTTTTTTTCCCAAGGTGTCGAATTCTATCAATCTATTGAAATTTTATCCTATCAATCTGTGAAATTTATCCACCAATGTATTAGAATTTAGCGAAAGATTGGAATTTTGTTGACGCAAAAATATTATTTTTCTTAGCGTGTGTATTTTTCTTCCTCCTCGAAATTTAAACGGTTATTAAATACACATAGCAGTCATTAACCTAGGTCGTTGACCGGATCAACGGATGGATAACAGTTTTACAGGCAGAATTAAATTAAATTAAATTAATTAAGTGAATGCATTTTTATCAAATTCAAGAGACTTTCAAGATAGCGATCTTCTTGCCTTGAATAATATCGCGCGGCTTGGTTGCTGTACGATTTTCCCAAAACAAAGGCTACTTGTAATCGCTACTTGTCGAGTGCGTTCTCGCAGCCGCGTCCTGATAACAATAATGACATGATAATTATACCGCGAGCCAGACAAGCGCGTCTGTTTCGGCGTCAGATTCGACTTAATGAGAACGAAATTAAAAGACGATTCACGTGTAATCAAAGTGAGACGAGAGAAATTTTTCATATCTATTGCCAAGGTATGCGTTTTATAATTAGCCG